AATTTCCTTGAGCATCCAGAGTCAGATGAAGAAGTGGGCTCCGATTTTTTGTCAGACTCAGGTGATAGTGAAGCAGGCGAAGGAGGGGAAAGCGGATGATGAAGAATTGGAGACAGATGAATCGATTTGGACCGAAGAGTTAACCACAAGAACTGATATTGACTTTAATCAAGCTGTTGGAATGGCTGTGGATCCTGCATCATTGAAGTCAAGCAAAGATTTTTTTGAGCTCTTCTTTACAGATCAGGTATGGCAGCTGTTAGCCACTCAAACTAACTTGTATGCTTCACAGAAAGATCTGAAGAAAATTCAGTCTGGTATCCAGTGTCTGTAGAAGAAATGAAAGCTTGATCTAGCTCTTTATTTGTGCATGGGTATTGTTAATAAGCCAAATATTAAATCCTACTGGAGCACTGACCCAATACTGTCCACCCCATTCTTTCCTGCTACTATGTCAAGAACAAGGTTTGTTCAGATTTTACGTTACCTTCATTTTGCTGATAACAACCTTGCCCCCAGACCCGACTCACCAGACTACAACAAATTATACAAAATTCAACCTGTTCTTGATCTTGTGGTACCCAGATTTAAAGCAGTTTACCACCCTGGAAATGAAGGAACTTGCTGTTGATGAGACTCTAATAAAATTCAAAGGCAGAGTTCATTTTAGGCAGTTCATCCCAAGCAAACCTGGCAGGTTTGGAATAAAGTCTTTTACTCTTGCTGAATCAACCAGTGGTTATGTCCTGGGTAGCAAAGTTTACACTGGAAAGGAGGCTGGAGTTGTCCAGAAAGATCTGGGGAAAAAAGCTGTCATGTCTTTGATGGAACCTTTTCTGGGCAAAGGATATTATCTTTTCATGGACAATTATTATACTTCTGTTGGTTTGTTTGAGGAGTTAGAAGAGAGGTCCACCCTTGCTTGTGGGACTGTAAGGTCTAACAGAGTAGACCTTCCAAAAGAGATCTGCAATCTTAAGTCCAGACAGGTGAAGCAACTGAAAAGGGGTGAGTCCTTGTACCGACAGAAGGAACACTGACTTGCGTGACATGGCGTGACAGAAAAGTTGTTAGCATGTTAGCCACTCTTCCTACAGGTGAGGAAGATTCTGATGAAGTGGAGAGATCTGTGAAGGTCAATGGCCATTGGCAAAAGAAAAACTTTGCCCGTCCTGGTGTGATCAACCTCTATAACACTTTCATGGGAGGTGTTGATGTTGCTGACCAGAGAGTGTCAACATATGCTAGACTCATGAGGGGCTCAGTGTGGTACTATAAGTTGTTCTTCTATGTTGTAGAAGTGTGCATTTCAAATGCACACATATTAGAGAACAAATCACTACTTCACACCACCAGAAATGGCCTGCTTTTCAGAAGATCATTGATTGATGAGCTCATCCAACAGCAAAGCTTCCGGAGAGACACAAGATCACCTCAAAATCCAATCCCACAGATTCGATTTAACCAGGGTCACTTTCACCACCTTGTGAGCCACAAAACAAGATCTACATGCAAGGTTCACCTGCAACGTGTGGATACCACATTCAGCTGTGCAGTATGTGGAGTGCGCATGTGTCAAGAGCCATGTTTTCAAAGGTACCACACCCTGAGGGATTACTATTACAATGATGAAGAGCGGGAAGGACCCAGACGTCTAAAGGAAGGAAGGGGGAGGCCTCGGGCAAGGGGAAGAGCAAGAACCTTGCAGAACTGAACATTAATAACATTAAGGCCATGTTAAGAGTAAAATTTTTAACCTGAATTGTTTTTTGAGACAATTAACTTTCCATAACAGTAACTATACAAACTAAAAAGAACATCATCTTGGTACTAAAGTTATTCAACTATACTTACCTGAGAGGTCTGTTATCCAGTGCAAATGAGCAAGGTTTTCATTTTAAAATTATAGTTTGATGTATTCATATCTTAAATTAATTGAAAGGACGTCTAAATTATGTATTTTTGTTGCTGATTACAATTTTTAGGCAAACTTACTGAAAAATGTGCATAATTATGGTAATTATGCAAATCGTGACGTCACACATCAAATTTTATCCCATAATATATAACATAGATCAATAGCCCATTTTATACAGATCTCAGATATATATGGTTTATTATGGTTAACTTGAAAACACTATTGTTTACAGTGGCTTTTATCATGACCACTCAAATTTTTCCCAAAAAAATAAGACCCCCGTGGTCCTTTAAGGGTTAAACGAAAAACAAGCGAAATCTTGCAGGGAACGTTTCATGAGAAAGTTGAAAAGGATGTTGAGGGAAAAGCGGAGGAGAGAGGAACAAGACGTGCAAACGGAGAAGAGAAAGGAGAGGATACGTGAACAAATGCGGGAAAGAGTTAGACGGCTAAGAGAAGAGAAGAGTTGCGACAAGCCGGAAATGATACCGCACATTCTGAAGGAAGTACGTCTGATACCACACCTGTATTCAAAAGTAGGATGGCAAAATCCCGTGCGTTGAAGAAAACAGGTCAAGCCCTACCAGAAACGCCGGAAAAAAAGGCAGAGCTTTTGGAATCAATTTCCTCAAGTCCCCGTAAGAGGAAAATTTTGACTAAATAAGGACTCGTGAAAACCCCCGAAGAATTGTCCTTGTTTTCAAGGACTGTATGAAATTCAGAAAAACTTTGACCAATAAATCTGTTGAAATTTCTTTTCGATCACAGCACGCTGGCATGTGGAACAATACGAAGTAATCGTAAGGGATTCCCTGATCCCGTGAAAAAAGCGAAATTGAAGAAAGGCGAAGTCAACGCTTACAGAAGCAGTGAACTTCTTGCCATGAAGTTCAAAGACAAGAGAGATGTGCTAATGCTAACAACAATTCACAATGAGGAAATGGTTCCAGGACGAAGACTTGCAGCCCACCACAAACCAAGATGGATTGCAGAATGGGCGGAGTGGACCGTACTGATCAGCTGATGCAGCCATATGACATGGCAAGAAAATCCCTCAAATGGTACAAGAAACTGGCATGTCATTTTCTGCAGCTTGCCATGCTAAATAGTTTTCTAGTTTACAAGAAAGATCGTGGCCGAAAGCGCTTTTTGGAATTTCAGCATGATGTGATTTCAGTGCTTCTCTTTGGTACAGAAAATGACCAGCCTGACATTCCAAGAGAGGAAAATGTTGTAAGACTTACAGAAAGGCACTTTTTGGAGCAAATCCCACCAACAGCAAACAAGAGAAAAGCTCAGAAGAGGTGCAGAGTCTGTTATAAGAAGGATATACGGAAGGAAACCTGCTATTACTGCCCAAGTTGTCCATCGCAGCCCGGATTGTGCTACTACCCTTGCTTCGAACTTTACCACACAAAGTTTGTGTATTGGGCCAACACTTGAAAGACAAAAAAGACACACATGAAAAAATTCTTGTCAAAAACTTTATTACAAAAATTTGTGGCCAGTATTTTGCCATTTCGCTAAATACTGCGTGTAGTTGTCAGTGGGCTTCTTTGTTTACATAACTTATACTTGTTGTGAACAGGCTCCTTTGTGTACATTTATAATGTTTTTTGAAGTAATATCTTGGATATATGTTGGCATTTGTTATGCAGTATTTTTGCAGCAGTTTTGAATCAGTTTTATTGTTCGAGAGACTTGTTTTTGTCCTGTTTTTATTGAAAAATGTGGAAATATGCAAATTTTCCCACGGTTATGACGTCATATTGATATCAAATTACGTCAACCTCAGCAAAATTGGGTTCATTGAAAAGAAAATTTTATGACCTTTCAGAAAATGTATACATGTCTATAGTTTCAGAGGGACACTTCTGGTATTTGAGGTCTTTTATGAGACACGCATTTTTAGTTAAAATGCTCTAGCAGACAGGGTACAATGGCACTGGCATCACCAGGCTTTTTTCTGTACATAAAGTATTTTTTCTTAAAGTAATATCTTGGATATATGTAAGCATATGTTATGCAAGTATTTTTGCATCAGTTTGGAATAAATTTAATTGTTGAGAGACTTGTTTTTGTCCTATTTTTGTTGAAAAATGTGAAAAAAATGCAAATTTTCCCACAGTTATGACGTCATACTGATATCGAATTACGCCAACCTCAGCAAAATTTGCTTCGTTAGAAAGAAAATTTTATGACCTTTCAGAAAATATCTACATGTCTATAGTTTCGGGAAAAATACTTCTAGGGTTTGAGGTTTTTTGTGAGACACCCATTTTCAGTTAAAATGCAGTGGCACACAGGGTACAGAAAGGGGACATGGGGCGTGGCACTCAAGGGGCTAGTGTTACACCAATGTACATGGTGATTGTGCTAAAGGTCAATAAATTAAAGAGATCACTAAATCAAGGAAGTCTTGCCAGCCAGAACAAGCAACTATACCTACATGTTCTATTGGTCAAAAACCTATCAATAAAACAACTGAGGATACTGCTACACCATTTCTGAAGTAAGAATGCCAAGAATCAGCAATACATTCAATAGTTCACGAAAATCAGACCAGAGAAGGAAAAGAGGATTTAGAGAATGACCAAAACAGAAACAAACAACCCTTGTTTTGCAAGACTTACAGGAGATCACAAACTTGTCACAACTTGCAAAGTGAGAGAAAACCAGTGAAAGACCAAACCCAAACACACTGCATTTTCTTCCCTTTAAGAAATGGTACTTTGTGAAGAATCTCCTTTTTTTTCGATGAGGTGGGGGAAGAGGGGCCTTCTTTTTAACAATGGCACAATTTCTACCATCAATAGAGATGTATGGCATTTTGCAGGACAGCATCTAAACCATGCAACCTCCTTCCCATTGGATGTAATTTTTGTTCTGTCAGAATGAGTCAACATCAGTTAGATCAAGGTCAAATTCAAATGGGTGGAAATTTCATCCTTCTTTTCTCTACTGTCATAACACTCATAAACATATCTACAGCTATGAATAGTTATTCTTTGAGATACACTGATGATTTCATTTAATCAGGGAATATGAACATTTCCTTTAATTTATTATGTTCTTTCCATCTACTGTATCACACAAGAACCCATCATTTCTCAACAAAGTACACAAAGTGATGTTAACAATTGTAAAGCTATTTATAAATGGATTTGAACCTTATTTAAGCTGTGCACATACATTTTAATTGTTTTCTTTTACAATGGCAAATAAATGTTAATAATAATAATAATAATACATAATATTTACAATAATCATAACATCACTGAGATTTTGAATTGCTAAAACTTTTAGTTTTAATGAGCCATTTTCCATATGATTTATTTAGGGCACTGTCCCCTTCCACAGCACCATGTACCTAAGGAAAGGATATTCAAGCAGGTAATACTGCTGTGTACACAAGAAAGAATAAAATCAAATGAGAGAAGCAAACAAAAGTAATCAGAATGGTGCACACCCACTGTTTGTGTACTGTGATGTTATCACCAGCAGATGTCTGCCTGCTTAAGGCCAGGATGACAAATATTTTATTGTCTTTCATCAGTTACGTTTTAGACCTCAAAACAACTGTCTTTTCTGATGCAAAGTCCTCAATTTGTGGCCCAAGAAGCATTATTCTAAGCTTTTTTAGCCTCACCCCTTGGTAAATAGCAGTGAACTAAAAATTACTTTGCACAAGGAAAGTACATATGGAATGTACAATTATGTGGATCTGCTAGAGTATTGCATTCCTTGTAATCTATTTGTATTTACTGATGTTAAATCATTCATCACGAAAAAGTGAAAAAAAATTTTGAGCATGAGGGCCAGGTTAAATCTGAAAAGTGAAGCAGTGTCAAGATGACCTTTATAATTGTGCCACATGGACCCTCTACAAGGAAAATACATTGGTGCTTAAGTGAGTTCTGTGAAATCCTTATTTCAAGAACACATTCAAGAATATCTCAACCAGAATACCTCCTTACATAAAAATGATGGATTACACCATACATGCACATCATGGTTACTCACAACCCCAAATTTTTGGAGTTCTACAAGTCTGTGAAGATTTTTACTGGCCAGGTGGTGTAGAGAAACAATGATGTGGCTCGCAGTGTAATCCTGCGAAAGTCCATCAAATGGGACTCTGCTGGAGATGTTCTTCAACAATAGCAAAAGCTGTGAAATCATGAGAGAGAGAGGCTCATGCTTATGAAAAGAGAAACTGCACTTAATGGGATGAGAACATTAAAGAAAGCAGACAAAAAAGGCATACAAGTCACTCTTACTGGCAATCAAGTGAAGCTACCCTTTCAAAATCCACAAGCCCTGATAATCCTGAATTCTTCAAAAATGACAATAAAAGAATTGAAGGCTGAACTGAAAAGGAGAAATGCCAAGGGATTCAGTCAGAAAAACAAATCTGAGCTTTTACAACAACTAAAGGAGATTTGCCAAGAAGAACATATAGGCAAATCAGTATGCAATGAATATGGTCTGATGAGTATTCCCATTTGTATTGAGCCAAAGTGGGCCATACAGCTGGAGTTATTCTGGCTTCTACAGCACTAAGCCATAAAAATTATTTCTATCTCCCTATGGAGTTTTGGATTTTGCAAATGGTATGCAAGTCTATCAAAGTGTTGGTCTCTGCATGAAATTTGCAGATACCCAATAAATAATTGTAAAAAAGCTTGAATGTGCAGTAAACTAAATGATATGAACAACAACAAGTGCAAAATTATTGCCTAGGAGAGCCTTTATGTTTATAAAAAAATAAGTATTTACTCTTTTTGTTTTGGATTTTCAGCAAAGGTTGCTAACATGTTAATAATCAATTTTTTTATCAATTAATCTCAAGTAACCAATACTTTTGAGGCTTTTACCTCAAGTTTTGCTATTTCTCACTTATTTTGTCTTATAAGTTTTATCTATCAGGAAAGTCCTGAGTTTCTGTGATTTTTTATATTTTCTGAAAAGCCCTTTTCATACATTTTAAAATTAGATATTTTAGATTATATTGCTGTATATATTTGTTGAGATATGAATTTAAAGATGAATGTGGACAATTTTTGCATTTTTTTTTTTGGGTGCAAGGGATAGGTTTACAAGCCAAATATCTCTTTCTGCTAAAGCTGACCCCATTCTTTGGTACCACTATGTCAAGAACAAGGTTTCTTTAGGTTCTACATTATCTTCACTTTGCTGATAATTCCTTAGCTCCTAGGCCTGATTCACCAAATTTCAACAAGTTGTACAAAATTCTGCATCTGCTGGATTTGATCATACCAAGGTTTAGGGCAGTTTACAGTCCTGAAAGGCAACTTGCTGTCAATGAAACCTTGATCAAATTAAAAAGGGAAAGTTCATTTAGGGCAATTCGTTCCCATAAAACCAAGCAGGTTTGGAATCAAGGCCTTTACAATGGCTGAATCAACCAATGGCTATGTTGTAGGGAGCAACACATACACTCAAAAGGAAGCCAATGTAGTCCAGAAGGGGAGAGTCCCTTTATAGACAGAAAGATACTTTGACTTGCATGACATGGCATGACAGAAAGCCTATCAGTTTCTTAGGCACTGTACCCACATGTAAAGATGATTCTGGTGTTGTGGAAAGATCCATGAAAGTAAATGGCCACTGGGTGAAGCAAAACTTTGCCAGCTATGGTATAGTTAGCCTGTATAATGCTTACATGGGTGGTGTTGATGTCTCTGATCGGAGAATTAGCTCATATGCAAGGCTAATGAGAGGTGCTGCACAGTATTACAAGATTTTTATTCTATCTCATAGAAGTATGTATTTCAAATGCGCACATTTTGGAAAGAAAATCTCCAAATCATACCACCACAACCACTTTAGCCTTCAGAAAGTCATTGATAAGTGACTTGATTGAAGGAAAATCCTTCAGGAGGGACACTCAAATGCAGCAGCCATCTACTTCTGACATTTGATTTAATCAAGAACACTTTCACCACCTTGACAAAAGCAGTGACAAAAGATCCACTTGCAAGGTTCACCTACAGCATGTAGATACCTTTTACAGCTGTGCAGTGTGTGGAGTACACATGTGCCTGGAGCCCTGTTTTCTCAGATATCACACATTGAAAGACTACTATTTCAGTGATGAAGATAGTGAAGGCCCCTGACATCTGAAAGAAGGAAGAGGAAGAGTTGCACCAGAGGAAGAGGAGGAATTCTTCAAAATTGAACATGTAAAGACAAACATGAAGGTGGAAGTGAAGTAACCAAGGCAAAGTGATATACAAGACAATGAGAGTGACTAACTCTAAGACTTTCTCAAAGATAATACTTCAAGATTTTGTTCCTCATAAGATAATTCCTGCCCTTGCAATAACATTAATTACTCAAATTTGTGTGCAGAGAAGTGTTATTAACCTTTAAAATGATATTTTCAATGTTTGAAGTTCATGATTTTTGTTTAAAACTAATAGTTCTAAAATATATTCGTCACAGGATTCTTTCAATTAATCCCGCTCAAAATTTCCAATAATTATACTGATTATGCATGTTGTGACGTCATCATATAATATACATCCCATAATAAGTTAAACTAATTGATAGGAAATTTTCTACTGATTATGAATAGATACATTGTCATGTGAGGCAAATACCAGCTCCTTCTTTCTCTGCAAATTTTGCTGAATTTATAGCCTCGAGCGCTTGAGCCCGCTTTATTAAATAGCATTTCGCTATTTAGCTTTGCCATGAAAATGGCTACCCATTAGTTGTAAAGGCGGAATGTGCAAATTGGTTTGCATGCATACCAGTCGAGTAAAAATACACCTACGCACTTTGGACCCTCAAAAAGGGGAGTGCTCATCTTGTAAAAGGTTTTGAGACACTTAACAAGCTAGATTTCGAAAGGTCGGATGACACAGTTTTACTGATGGTTCAGATGTAGCAAAATTCTTTCATATTTGGAGACCATACCTTTGCCAACTGCCGAGAGCGTCCAGTTTACTTCGTTTTGCATCTTCAGCCATTTCAACGCAGATCACTACACAGAATCAAAAAGATGAAAACACAGTAATGAATTCAAACCTTAGGAAGCATAACTATTAAAGAAGAGGGAAAATTAATGGAAAAATGCACGTAACAAGCTATGAAATTACCGAACGTGAATCATCAAAGAGACGCCTACCGAAGCACATGGTATCTTCGCAAGTTTCGCGTTGCCGTTCTTGATCTGGCACTTGGGTATGCACAGTCGCTCCTTACGGTGACTAACCATCTCTTCTGTTTTCTACGACTAGTTGGGAAATTAACATCGTTCTATTAAGTTTGCGAACGAAAAAACGATAACTTTCACGACATGACGCTTTGGGCCAGACCTTCGAAGACCGCAGCATGTCATGTGACAATTGACAGGAGCCTGCTTTACTTTTGGTCAGTGTCAAAATAATAGTCACGCAATCTTATGTCACCAGCCATAGAATTAGAAGGGGTACAGTCGAATGACTCGAACCCTCGCTATCTCGAACCTCGTGCTAACTTGAACCAAAGCCGATTCGCCTGTCATACATTTACTGAAAATTTACCCTCGACAACTCGAACTTCCCGTGAACTCGAAGCAATTTTCGTATCCTTTCAGGGGATGTTCTCTACATATATTACCCTCGATAACTCGAACCACGTCCAACCTCCTCCTCCAAACAAAACAAACAATGTAATACAGTACAAAACATTTACGTTACCTTGTGATTTCTGCAATAGTTTAGAGTTCCATTTTCAGCCTGACTTCTCTCCCCTATGAAATTTGATTAAATTGTTTATTGTGTGAATAGAAAACACAATAAACACTAGTTTTTTTCCTCTTATTTCTGGTCCTTTTCTTTCACTCCCGATAACTCGTACCCTTTTCAATTTCCACTGAAGGTTCAAGTTATCGAGATTCGACTGTACTTCTTAATAACAGGCCACGGGGTTGGGTCGCTGAATGGCGTCACCTTTTCACGACTGGATTGATTGTAATGGGCTGCATCTTTGATAGAGTCACCAGAATATGATGGCCGCATTCATTTTTGGGGATTTTGGGTTATGAAAAATTTGGTACGTATAGGGATTTAAAAATGGGAACCCTTTTGTTTAACTTCCCGACATGCGAGCGTCAGAATGTTCGCGCACTATTAATGAAGAAAGTGACCAAGATGGATCAGCGAAAATTACATACAGCTATTTCAATTTACGTTGTCGGATCAAAGCTTCAAGGGTACGGGACAAGACCGAAAGGCGGTATGGGTAGATTAGAATTAATTTTAGGCTTTTGGGGTTGTCGGCGCGAGATGGACCTGGAGGCTGAAAATACAATTAGTATTGCCTTGCGCATCTTAACAAAGAGCAACAAGAACAGATATGGACGAGGCATTTTTAATTTTGCTGATAATTATTCATTAAGATCCCATATTCCCCTTCGGTCTTGTCTTGTAGGCTTGAGATAATTGATCCGACAACGTAAATTGAAATAGCTGTATGTCCAAGAGTGACAAAGGGTACTGAGAGGTCAGCGGCAAATGCTGAGCAAAAATTAACCCAAGTACCCCCTCCTCCTCGGGGTTCTTAAGGTGATATTATGTTTTTGGGTGTAAGCTTATGAATTAGGTGCCATTTATACGCGATGATGAAAGGTCTATCGTCTGTACTTTTAATTAGTGGCATGGTAAACAAGACGACAAATGGTGTGTATCCCTGTCAAGTAACCATCTACGGGCACTAGAAAATTGTCCTTATGCAACACAAAGAAATAAGGTTTCGTGAAAGTGAACCTAGACAGAGAGACATTTTTTTCCTTAATTTGATTCAGGGATTATCGTGGGGTTTCTGTTAATTCCCTTAAATCTAAACCTGGATTTCGCACGACTCAGTAAAGTTAATTTAAGCCGTCGTTTTCTAGAGAAAGCAAACATGAAAAACGCAGGTAAATGCTATCGGATTTTGTATAATTATTTTCCTTCAACTGTATTTGTTTATGTTTGAAGACACATGTACAAGACTACATGTAAACTACGTAGGAACAGAATCTTTAAAAAAAATTTCCAGAACTGCGTGGTAAAAAATATCCGGAGGTGAACTTTTTGCAGAATTCAGGTTTTGCCAGCAGCGAGGAAACTACGTGCGTCAGCTCCAATTTCCTTGACTGAAAAAAAAATTGTATTAAAAATTAAAAGGAGCGATTTTTTTCTTACCCCAAGAGAAGCACAGCTGGTCGCGTGCGCTAATTTAAGTTCATAAATTTTAATCTTTAAAACGTTTAATACTGATGAACGATTACTATAAATTATAATTTTATTTCATACTATTGTCCCCTCTACTTTCATGCACGACAAAGGCTACTTGAGTTTTACAACACTGGAAGAATTAACAATAAAAACATCTGTGATCAATGATTTTTTCCGGTGATAATAAAAAAAGAGGTTACAAAGGTTTAATTTACAAGTTAATTACAATCAGGCCTTTCTGACGACTGTGAACCCGTTTTGAAACTATCAGTTACATGATATATTAAAGGTTTTATTATCGATTCATATTTATGCGACGTCTTCAATATCAAAGGATGTAAACAAATATTCGAGATACTGTTTCATATGCCTGTTGTTGGTTTGAAAGATCTTTTCATAGTTGTCCTGAGGAACATCACTTTTGCGTCATCAGAACTTACGTACCAGAAGGAAGTTAAAAATTGATAAAGATCTAGGGAGGATCCATTGGTTACACAAACGGGTTCGGTAAAGGCGGGCACGTTTAAACAAACGTGGCACGCATTAAAATTTTCTGGTCAAAAATAAGAAACACTCAGTGGCATTTACAGGTTAATATCACTTGTTCCACAAGAAAAAAAATATGCGAAATACTGGGTCGGAATTTAAAGTCGTGGAAGCGACGAGCTCAAGATATCCAAATTCCAACTGCAATTCTGAGACCCGTACACTTCCTTTGAATAACATTACAAATTGTCTGTAAGACCCGTGAATGGACTGTTCTTATCTCTCGCAAACATTTGTTAATGAAGTTCGGCTGGTCTTAGTAAAACAAAACCGACCATTTATTGTAGCTTTTACTCTAAAGCTGATTGGACATCTCATCGCGAGTTACTTTGTTATTCAAATCATGAGCTTAAACGCTTGTCGCTTTGCTTTTCGTACGAGTAATGAATTAATAACGCCAAAAAAACGAACCTCAATCGTTGCAAATTGCCTCTTTTGCAAAGTACTTCGAGATTTTTTCAACTCAACCAAGTCACAGATATTGGACTCGTATTGGTTTTTGCGTATAAAGGCACTTTCGGGGGCAGTCGCAGTCTGACTGTTGCTACTTTATAAGCACTGTACCCTGCTCGCGAGTCGTGAGTAAATTCATCGAAAAACAGCTTGAAATGAATACGTTAACCGAGTGACATTCCGTTTCCGTGCGACTCAAACATGGCCGAGGAACTGCAGCGAATCGATTCTAATCTCAAGCCGAGCGAACTGAAGGCGGCATTCAAGCGAAGCCGGGACATCGATGCGCTGTTGGACAAGGAAAGAGAATTGAAAGAGAAAGAAGTACAGCTGTTGATTTTGGGTAAGAATACCGCAGATCTTACAAATTCCTGGGTTGCCATTTCGGCCTCATATAGAGCGGGATGAATATTTATTTCTAGAATTTTTCAAGCATACAACCCTCGCTCGTATTTTGCCAAACCAGCGAATCAAAACACGTTCGCCGCCGCCACTACACCAAGAATTGCCCACCTTAGGAAGTAAAAATCCCTAACTCTCTGTGTACATTTGCTAAAATGTTTTTAATTTTTCCTTACGTTCTTAAATAAACAACAACCCAAAAATTTCTCTATGGCAAATAAAACCCTCTTAGATAATCAAATTCGCCGCCGAAAGATAGTCCGTAAATACGCAATCAAAAATATATAATCCTGAAAAACTTGACGGTATTATGAAGATTGTGTTTCACTATCGAAGATGCAGATATGATGATTAAGACTTATGACTTGTGCCAAATATAATCCCTCACGCGGGGTTCTTCAAGCTCTTGGAAAAGAAAGAAACGAATATAAAAGCACTTTACCTTCTAGACAAACAAACGACATTTGAGGAAATGAAAGAAATATTGGACCTACATACGTAAATTTGAACACTTCAAACTTACGTACTTTCAGCAAATTCAAATTTTACCTATATCATGAAATATGAATCAAAATGTGACCGCCAAAATATTCACACGCATGTAATCCGAAGTAATTGTACCGGCCTGTTGATGAAATCATTAATTCATTTCATGAAACAAGAATTCGAACTTAGTATTTAGCTGAACATTTTGAGGCGAAGATCTGAAGTTCGATCCCTCATGGGGACTTAGAATTTTTTTCTTTGTTCCACTTTCGTGACAAAACATCTTTCACTATTTTGAGACAGCTTGGCAAATTGGATGTGAAATTAATTATCATGTAGACATCTGACATTATGGCCACAAAGAAAAACATGAATAAATTTTTCATCAGGAACGATTAAAAATAGATTATAAAATCCACTGAATATTGTTTATTTTCAACTTCTGTTGTTGAAAGAAATTAAAAAATTGTGAACACCGAAGTTATTGACTGAATGAAATATATTTATTTCCTTTTGTTGACTGCTGAGAAACTGAAAGTCAATTTCCGTTTAGAGGCTTCAAACATAAGGTCCATTATAATTTCACAATGGTTTTTGACATCAACCAAAAAAAATCATAGATATTCTTGCATATACGTGTCGATGGTTCGTTCGATAGGTATATAGGTCATGATTATTTCACCCCCTCCCCCTCGCTATCCCTACCCCTCTACTCTTGTCTTATCTTGTTGTCCTCCCGAACTGTGGAGGTCACAGCCAAGAACCTCTTTTGTTATCAATTGCAAATACCGTCTTGAGTCGTGTTCATTATTTTAATTCTACTTTCGTTTTTCGTATTTTATGTGTATGGACAAGAGTCTATAATCTCTTGGTTTGGAGCAATCGCACATTCCTTCTTGTACATTCTCTTTTGACCTGTTGGATTTATTTTTTTTTAATGAAGCTCTGTTCGATTTCTGCCGCCTAATTTCTTTTGTTAGCTTTTCTCCTTTTTACTTGAGCTTGTTTCATTTTCGTTTTTATTTTTTATTAGGATCGGGTTGTTCTGGGAAAACCACTTTTCTCAAACAGCTGCGAATTCTATACGGGGATGGTTATACGGAGAAAGAGCGGAAAGAATTCAAGCCAGTTATATATGGAAATGTCCGAAGAGCCATGATTCGAATTCTCGAAGCAATGGAAGAGATAGGGCTTACTTTTGCCAACGAAGAGTTGAGCACCAAGGTAATACAATGTTGTGGGAGATAACCTGCAAAAGAGAGGGGTTTTTAGTGGCGCTTTCAGGCAAACGAAGGCAAGTGCGAGGCGAATACAAGGAGCGCGCAAAACACGCGCGAAGGAACGCAAATTTCATCATGACTCTGTTCGCCTGGAAGTGCAAAAAAAACGACGCTTTCTCTGAAAGCAATATAAGAGATGCAGGGGCCCTTTTTGTTAATGCGCCCTCCTCCTGATCAGGAGCTCATTTAAGCTTCGGCAAGGTCCGACGTGAGGTGTTTCTAGACAAGACACTTTGTTATTCGATCGCTTCTCTACCAGTAAACAGTCTGGGGTAACCTCGTTTGAGTCTTGGTCTTTGCTCATGCAAATATCGTGTCAGTGGCAGAACAAATTCGAACATAAATCAAAGATTCTTGTCACGCGACGCCTTCTATTCGTGCATTTGCTCACGTTGAAACCGTAAATGGGCGGTGACATGCATCGAATGATTTCATAAAAACAAATAATTGGAAGTTTCAAGTTCTCCGCTTCCCTTCATATGTTTCCGGATATTAATACCCATTTCTTTTGGCGGAAATTTTGCGGGATTTCATTCATTTTCCGTTTTTTGCCTTTTAAGTTTAGCACAAGGAATTAAGGCGCGATCAGCCATAATTGAATCGGATCAAATTTGGGCATGTTTCTTCCGCACATTCCACTTTTTTTGATCTCGATCAGGTGCTGAGCGCCGCAGAGTATAAGCCCCTTGGGTTGCATGCAGCTATTTTGAGAAAGGTAGTCGGAAAAGAAAAAAAGCGTCAAGTGCCCGCAACAATCCCTAAAGGTATTGTGTGTGGTTCTAAGGTCACGGTTCTTCGACCTCAAGGGAACTGTTAAGATGAAGTATCGCGGGTTTCATGAATTTATTTATTTGACTTATTAACATTCTCTGATTACCGGATACCCCGATCAGCTAGACAGATTACCTTTCCAGATTAGCGCATATACTTTTGTCCTTTTTTCCGACAGCCTCTCTCGAAACAGCTGTATACCTAAATTTTAAATCCAAAATTATCATTTATTCACCCAGGACCTCCATCAGGAGCTACTAGAACATGCCGACTCAGAAGACAGTGAAAATAATAACTTTTCGCTGGCAGACAGAGTTCCGTTGCTGACAAAATTCTGGAACGACTCCTCAGTACAGACTTGCTTTGGCCAAAGAAATTTGTTTTACATCGACGATTCCGCTAAATAGTAAGTAAAACTATAAAAATATCGGTTACCATTGATTATTGTAAGAGAAAACAGAAAGAATTAGTATCGGAATGCGCTTTTAGAGCGTTTTTAGCGCGACCTCAGCCTCTCTTGGCGTGATTACTGCGACATACTCGCGCGATAGCTGCATGGTTTGCGGGTAATATACTTTGACAGACCTCCTTAAGTGAATGTACAGAAAGATTTCGGATAACTGAAGGTGGTTTTCTTGATTTTGCTTTCGTAATGTAGCGTTAAATATTAATAAGCTAGTAATGTCTGGTATATTGAGCAATCAGACATAATGTAGAGCTATCGTACGCTCTTTCTTCCTCATAGGTATCTTATTTACAAGAGTAACGCATAGTACGCTTTTCTTTACAATGAAAGTTGTTGCCTGCGAGCAAGGCCTTCATTATTGACGCGTAGGCGCGAGAGTCTCTTCACTTGCGAGACGTCTGCACTGATTATTAGTGCAAAACCTATCCTCGACTCCTCTCAAATCTTCCCACGCACGGAGAAAAGTGCGTCCTACAGCGCTGATAATGAAGGCGTTTACAGGCCATTCGTAGCCTGTGTAACCTGTGACTTATTGCGCCCATTATTGTTTTTTAATCAGTTTTTTTGAGAATCTCGAAAGGCTATCACATCCAGATTACATCCCAACACACGAGGATATTCTGCACGCTAGGCAACAAACTCAAGGTGTTCAAGAAAGAAAAATTTCAGTAAACAGTTACAATTACAGGTAAGGTGGTAAAGATATTTAAGAATATTCAGATTACTTTTAAAAAGATCATTACGAGGCTTAACTCTTGACCCTAAGGGTGACTGGCATCTAATTTCTCCTTACAATGTCACCCCTAAATCATACAAAAAAAGTTATGAGAAAAAAAGAAATGATCATCAGCTGGCTCTTGATTGTTACAAGAGTTCTCCTTGTCAGCACCTTAGAAATTTAAAATTTAATGTCTCAACACACTTATGAGCTACTTCCAAAGCTCTGTAGATCTCATCGCTGTCACCTTATTTTTTACTTATTTTCTTTGTTGTTAACAGAGTTATAGATGTTGGAGGACAAAAAAGTCAACGCAAAAAGTGGATTCATTTCTTTGAAGGTGTAACAGCCGTTGTGTTCTTTGTGTCATTGAGTAGCTACGACGAATTCGTCGAGGAGGACGAAAATTCGGTAAGTCGTCCTGCTACTATTCGGTGTTTCCGAATGTTCACGAAGATTTCCGAAGTTGCCATATTTTTTAAAAAGGACACCAAATCAAGATTCCAGAGTCCTTTGAATGTCTCCTTTCGAAAATGAGAAAAGTATTCGATATAAAGCTACAGCTGATCAAGATACAGACATAAAACCTTTTGTGTTTAATTTGTTCATTTAGGAGTTAAATTTCATAATTAAAAATACATTTCCATTTTTTTTTCGTTCTTTATTGGGTCGCAGAATGCTATGCATGACAGCCTGGAGTTATTTGAAGAAATCAGTCAAAATGCTTTCCTTGAGAAGACGGAATTTATTCTCTTTCTTAACAAGCATGACTTATTCGTGGAGAAGCTGAAGACTTCAAATCTGTCTGCGTGCTTTCCCGACTACGACGGTAAGTGGACGACGTTCAAAGCTGAGATTGCTTGATAGGCTGAGCGAACGGGAAGCCTTGCTTCTGTCGAGAGGGAAGCTTACCGTTGCGCGCACGCATAATTCCTTAGTATTCTTCCGGGCAAGCTCATGCTTTTTCTGGCCAGAAAAACTCTTGACCACGATCGAAAATAAAATGTTTCCTGATATTTGACTGGCTGGGCCTTATACAATCCGTTGTGCTAAGAACGAGATTGATAAAACTTTACTTTCTGTATAGGAGCAGCAGTATCAGTGGGCTCGCAAATCCTCCACCCTCCAACATTCTGAATGGTGCAAGATTGGCTGGAGGGGAGGGGGGGGGGTTAAGGCTTTGTACGTTTTATTCCAACTTGAGACCTACACCCTTACCTTTGAAATGTCAGTTTTGGTCCAAAAGCTATCTATTTTACTTACTTAGGATAAAATTCCACACCGCACTCCTCCTTTACCCTCTCTTGCAATCCTCTTCTCCGACTCGTTTTAAGAAAATTTAAGGTGCTCCCTTTGGGCAAAACCCCCGTACATACGATCCATGACATAGTCACCCCTGGGGCAGTGCCCCGTCGTCCCCATCGCCCCGTTCAAATTGCTTCTTGGAATCGCACTTTAAAAAAGGACGGGTACGCTGATTTCCTCCTCGCATTGTTTTTGGAGGAAGAGTGGTTAAAAAAGATCATTTTATTTTTAAAGAAAACAATTTCTACATGACAGCATATTGATATATTATTTCCTTGCTTGCAGGAGGTCCAGACCCCGAGATAGGTTTAAATTACATCCGGGAGTTGTTTTTGTCCAAGAAACCCGCTGACAAGCACATGTATTTGCACGTGACATGTGCAACAGACACTGACCTAATGAAAGCGGTGTTGAAAGATGTGTTTGAAATTTTAGTCGATATAAACCTGAAGAAACTCTCTACACTTTAACTAAGAGGTAGTCTGAAAAGGCAAGCTCCGATGTGCGAAACCTGTCGCCAGTTATGGCACCCATCCTAGTCACGAATGGGCAAATGTAACAACTGTTAACCGCGAACCTTCCCATTTTTTTAATCCCTTCTTATCAGAATTTTCTTACCTCCAAATTAGGCGAAAATGAGCGACACCGAGACTAACCATCAACGCGAACTTAAGTAAACTTATTTTGAAATAACTCCGAAAAGTTTCATTACAATCGACATCTCTAAGTTTCTGCTTGTAGTTAACGGACCTACAGCATTACAACTGCTCTTCGAAAAGGGATCACTCACGTTCGCTTAAGCTCAGAATTGCTTGTGATTATAAACGTTTTATAAAAGTTATGATGAAATAAAGGTTTGAAGTCTTTCTTGCAATTAGCTTTGTTTTTTTCACTCGCGTCGAATGCAAACTGATAAAATAATTTGCACGCAACACTGAGAACGCGTGGCTCAGGGGCGTTTAATGAAATATCGCTAGACTTATCTCTAAGGGGTAAGTCCCCCTTTATACTCTGCAACGACTGATCTCCCCTTCGTTCGTTCCCCCTGGAAAACAATGATACCCCCCAAAATCATCCGACCCCGACCCTCCTTCCCGGCCCCCAGGCGATGAATAATGACCAGTTGCCTAGAAAGAGAGAAATCGCAAAGGTTGTTCATGCGATTCTTCTGTTGGGGATCTTAGTTTATCGGCTCAACAGGAGAAGGGGATGGGAGGGGGGGGAAAGGAAAGAGAGGATAACGATGCTTCTTCAACTTCCAGTTCTACGCTAAGAATGACCAAAGGCAGTGGATCTGAGGGCTGATTAAAAAGCCCTGAAATTAATACGTCATTGGTGGAGATTCTGAGTGAACTTGTTAAACGAATCGAATTCAAAAAGATCTTGCCATGACAGGGACAACGAATTTCACAACCCAAACAATTTGGGCACTTATTTTTTTCCCAACAAATTTTTAACAGTATATCGTACGATTCAAAATATTACTGAGTACACACAAAATCCTCCACAGGATCACAACTTCCAACATAACAGCGGTTCTTTATTCTTCAATAATGCCTAGCTGCTCTTTCAGTTCGATAACAGTTCCTTTTTCAAATACGCTGTCCGAACAAATCACGTTCTCGGAACAACTCAGAGTACAGTTATGCCGAGGGCATAAGGCTTGTTATGTCCTCAAGCGCCGCACAAAATGTCCAATATATTATTACCAATCAGTGAAATTTCTTAAGTCACAACCACGGGTCCAATTCTCATCTTGGACGACCGCGCCCTCTTCCAGCGGGTGCAGGGGGTCCATCACCCCCTGACTTAGGGTTTTTTACTGTTTCGTCCACCGACAGGATCAGACAAGCTGCTTCCGTAGCAGCCGTGATGGCGTTGATTTTCACAATGGCTGGCTCCCAGACACACGCCTCGAAGTTATCGGCGATGTCTTCGTTGTTTATATCCACCCCATACCACATGCCACCTAAACAAAGAAGACAAAAAATCAAAGTGCTCTGTGAGCAAACTCGTGAATTGACACATGATTTTTTGGATTATGTTAAATGTTATCTGGTTTTGGGAATTTTATGGTTGATTATCATATCAAGAGTACGAGCAGTAGTTCAGTCTTCGCTAATGTAGCAAAGAAACAAAGTAACGTTGGGATAAGAAGGCATTTCAATTGAAATGATCGTACTATTACATTTGACAAGGGTGGATGATGTAGTGTTTTAAACGTATATCATTTTTGTTTCTGGTTCAAAAGAAAAGGTTGGAAGTAAATGTGGGTGAAAAGTGAAATTTACTGTCTATCATTGTAAATATTAAAAAATCAAGGCAATACTGTCTTAATGAAAACATTAACGATTCCCTCTTCATCAAATGAGACAAACGGGAACGAGTTTTGAGTGATATAACTAAGCCAAGACTGCCACCGTCATTTAGAATCTCCGCCTGGGCAGATTTTAGTCACGTGCTAGGCAACGTATAATCAATAACAAGATAGAATTTCATTTCAGGCCTATTTGTCAATTTTGTGGTGTATGACTTTCGCATTTTAGTACGTAATATGTATTTTAAATCTTCAATTTGTCTTGAAACTTAAAAGAAAATTGTTCTTTAAAAATTCACCGAAAATCGGTAGCTAAAATTGTTTGTTTAGGTGTTATTTGATTTTCGTGTTAACTTGTAATTTCGTCAGTCGCCGGCATCTTCTGTTGCCTCACACAGGAAAAACACGATACGAAACGTTGTGATCGATTTTGTCCTTAATCTCACGCCAACAGAAAAAGATTTTGAACATCTGTAAACTCCGAGCGCTTCGCAGTAAGTGAGATTTTCAATGAACCTTCGGATTGTTTTCAAGTTCAAGGATTGTAAATTAAAATTTTATGGAAAACGAAGGTTGTTCTGTTATTTCAGTGTTAATCCTTGCATGCCTGCCAGTCGCTGGCGCCGCTTGTTGAAACTAAAGCGAAAAAAAAAACTCTTTTAAGATTATCATTGGCTTCTTTTTCACCCCACCACTAGTCTTAGCAACAAAGGTCGCCATTTCGTTCGTTTATTGCTCGCCAAAAACTATCAGATGCACTCAAAAGCCTAAAATCGAAAAAAAGTTTACAGGAATCGACCAATCGAGCGAGCGCTATTCCCCACATCGTATCTACAACTCGCTCTTGCGCATTCGCGCAATCCACGAGTTAAAAAAGGAATAAAGTTGATTCTCGTTTGTACAGAGGATGTAGCGTGGGGTTTCCTTCTTTTTACTGCGAGTCGACACTAAAATTCGAAAAGTCTTTGGAAGCTGACTTTACATCTGAAGAAGATGTTCAAACAACTCCCCATTGTCCATGCCCCACCCATCCCTCTTCCAGCACCATGTTGATTAGAGTTATTCCTAGAGGGTTCTCACGCTCTCAGTGTGCAAAACTGATAACTTCTTTATCTTTTTCATATTCCTCACGTAATATTTTGAGTCAAATTACATGGCCTGAGTGGAATAGTGGGTGTGCAACTTTGTGCATCAACATCAAACGTTCGAAAATTGCGTAAGTGTGAAATTTCATCCATCGTGATTGTACAGAAATTCAGCCACCTTACAAGACCCCGCCCGGTATTCAGCAGCCATGGCAGATTAACAAATATATGGTTTGTACGCGCTTTCCTTACTTTGTAAAGAGTTCAATGCCCCGTTTGAACGCTATTTTGATACACGGTCCCTCTTCTAGGCCTTGGGAAACCTTTATTTACAGGTTCGATGTAACGTACAGCGTCCAGTTGTCCAAAAATATAGCTATCCATCGGATAAAAAACTATCCGGCGGTTGAGTGTTCAAAAGACGTACCGCGCTATCCGCCGAATAAGACTAACCCGGTGTACAGTTTTATTCGCCCTACGAAAAATCCAGACGAAGTGTCGATCCTCTTACCTTGAAAGTGTTTCTGTCGTAGTTTATTCAAGATATTAGTAGCATCAAATCCCGCATTGTCGCACAGCTGTCTGGGAATGATCTCCAGAGCTCGGGCCATGGATCCAATAAGAAGCTGTTCCTTTCCTGCGATCGACCGAGAAAAATCTCTCAGGTATTTGCTTAGTTCCATTTCGATCGCTCCCCCGCCTGCTACCACTGCATCATTTTTGATCGCTCGTCGTACGATCATGATGGCGTCGTGCAGAGATCTTTCTGTTTCTTCGATGAATTGTTCAGCTCCACCTCGTAAAATGACAGTGCACGTCTTGGCCTCAGGGCAACCAGTAAAGATGTTATATCTGAAATACGAGTAGAAATCGGTACTGTCAAACCTCTGTGAAGTGGTCACCCTCAGGAAATAGCAACACTGGAGATAACCAATTCATAGAGGTTAACTAAAACTTTCAGAATGACGAAGCCATAGAAAACAAAATTCATCGCACCATTTCACATTTGTATTTTACAAACGCAACCACCAAATGTAAGGTCTGGAACCAAACATGCACAGTCTGATCTTGTTATTGTCTAGAAGGTCACAAGTATATATAAACAGAACTTTTAAAACTCGTCCCTTGCTCGCTTGACTCTCTAACTTGTCGTAGGCAAACATCGACATCTGCTCACGCGTTCGAGCATGGGGTATTTCGTAGTATCTCCTGGGTTGTGAACGTCGCTAATGTTGGAGCAGGTACGAACCGACATAAACCAGGAGCGAATCGTCTGAATTTGGGTACGAATCGACTGAGTACGAAACGTGTATTGTTATGAAACGACTAGATACCACTTAAACTTAAACACATCACTTCCCTGTTTCCGTCAAATTCCACCCCCTCAAATTCTTTAGTTTCTTTAATTACAACATCGAAGATGGTTCCCATGTTATAAAGTGGTAAATTTTACCTAATTAGCGAAATGATTTTTATACAGTGTCCTAATATTACTACATACCTCTCTCCACCAATCTGCTCTTCTTCAAACAGTTCACACATGCCTAGAACTTCGTCTGTCATGTTATTGACTGTTGTTTGAATGGCACCACCACAGGCCTTCATAGTTCTCTTCAAGTCTTCTTCCACAACGCGACCAGCACAGAACATGTCCCTGAAAACAAACCGATCCTCGTCATGAAAATGCCTTCATATAAGACCCTCTCCCAATTTGAATGTTCTTGTAAAGGCCAATTTTATCGCAATTGATGCAAGGCTAAAACAAATTTGGGGAATATCAGCAGATATTTCCCGGTATTTACAGTAAATCCTCTGTAAATAGCACTTTATAGAGGAGCCTGGCTAGACTTTCAACCAGACATTTTTCTGATGAGGTAGCATCGCAACTGTATGGTTTTTGATATGTTATACTAGGAAATGAAGGATTGGTATTTTCAGAGTTTCACCAAACTTTAGTTCCTAACAGTCAACAAATAAATGCCACATTCTTCTGATTGGGTGCAGCTTTTGTTCAAGGGTTGCATTCAATGGTCATTCTGGCTCAGTCTGCTGCAAGTAAACCTTTGACCCTTAGGAGTAACTAGCATCAAATTTACATTACACCACCATTATCACCTCTAAATCAAACTTAAAGGTCAGGAGAATGAAGGAAACGTTGTCAACTCCTTAAGAAATGTATAGAGAACAGTATGGAGAATATGCATGCTGATATTAGCGTGAAAAGGATTGATCAAGAGCAGGGTGTATTTGAGGGATGCATTTCAGAGAGGAAATATGATAAAAGAAAGTCTAACCTATCAGCAAAATATTGTGTGGCGACATCTCCAATGGGGAGCTTTGAGAGAACAACCTTTGCACCACTCTTGACTATCTTGTCCAGTTTGTCATAAAGGATCTCCCACTCAGCATCCACAATCTGCTGATATTCCTGTGGAAGAGAGAAAATCATCAGGTCAATAGTAAGCCTCGTGCACTTCTGATGTGCATAATTCTGTGCATATTTTCTATAGGGGAGAACCCTTAAAAAGTGGAGGCTCCTCTTCTATGATAAAGGCTCTCCCAATTTTTTTTTTCAGAAAAAGGAAACACCCTACCATCAGTGTTTTCACTTCTCAGAATTGAGAAGTAACTTTCGAATGGTGAAGTGAATATAAACCTTTACGCAGAGTAAATCATCATATCCAGAAGTGTGTATTAATCATGACTAAGACACAATTTCTTCTTGCAGTACCAATACAATATCTAGCAGAAAAGTGATGAGAATAGCAAAAATTATTAACTAGGGGATTATCATTTGATCCAACACCAAATTCTCACAGCAAACTTTCTAAAGAGTGTATAGCACACAGTAAGGAGAACTTCTATCAAGATAATGAGAGAGAAAGGGTTAAGCAAGTGATTTCTAATACCACCATAATATCATGAGGGTTAATCTTAAACTGAGAATTGATCATTACAATCTGGACTATACAAGGTGTTGGTGCTCCTGAACAAGTTTACAGATCCAGAGAGTTTTTTCATGCTCTTAATATATCATGGCAGCACTACACTTTACGTTCTGCATCCTTACCTTCACATTGTCAAGTCTAATCTCTGCATTTTCCTTTTCTGCCTTCAGTTCAAGCTCTACATTTAGCATTGCAATCTTGGGATTCTTGTACTTTTTGGGTTGCATTTCAAATCCAGCATAGGAAAACGTCTTCTTAAAGGCCACACCAGAAATGAGGCGTGAATCTTCTAAGGCTCCACCTTTCACCTTCTTCATTCCAATCATGTTTAGTGGAAGAAGATCATCTAGAAGCATTACAGCATCAACTACCATCTTGGAGAAGAAGTCTTTATGGGCAGCGACTAGTTTGGAATTTAGTGAAGTTGCTGCACATCTTTCCAACAATACTCGCATTTCTCTGCAAGATCAGAAAGTTAACCATGACTATAACAAAATCCTCAAAGTGGTGAGATTTAGGAAAGTTGACTGCTAGGAGAAAGGGATGCTATGTTTCACAAGACTATGAAACAATTTTAACATCGTAAATATAAAATTTTAAGACTGAGTAAAGGTACATATTTTTAATGATAAAATCATTAACTTTTTAAAGTAGCAAAAATTTCCACGGACATCTTCTACTTACTTGGGGTCATCTTTCTTGATTTTGACAGCAATCTCCTTAATTTTACTAATTGCCTGAAAACCAAGATAAAGAGAGAGATCAAAATTTAATCATTTACATAAAAATCTAACCATGCTGAGGTTTACCATGCAACAGGAGAAAAGAATTGTACAGTTTTACTCACTAAATTTGCAGCCTTCCTAAAGCTCTTCACAGCAATCTGAGCATGAACTCCTTCTTCTATAAATGGTTTGACTTGCTTTAGAAATTCACTGGCAAGAAGAGTGACAGTCGTTGTTCCATCACCAACCTATACATTGATTATACAAAATGAACTTCTCAATCTGTCAGCAAGTAACTTTTTAACCCTTTTTACCCTAACATCAGTATCCACATTCTCCTTACTCTTCTCTACACATTTCTCTTATACTGGCAAGGAGAACTTGTTTAATGATATTTCCTTAAGGAGAAATTAGATGCTGGTCACTTCCTTAGGGTTTAAAAAGTTCAAGCTAATTAAGGTATTTGTTTGTTTTTCTGAAGGAAACATCATCTAATCTTCCTCCCATTCATTTTCAACTCTTTTCTAAGGGATGTACCCTTGGTTTTTGTTCTTCTCTTCTTGCAAACCCTAAATGTTCTCTAGATTTTATTTCAATATGGAAATAACTCTAGTTGTGATGCAGTATTTAAGTTTTAAGATACCCAACATAAGTAATAAAAAGACAACTAGTTTTGGGCGTTTTAATTACATAAGTACACTGAAAATTTATCGGCAGTTAGACTATCTCTACAGTAGATAAATCTTTAGTGTAATGGCACCTGATGGAAATAATGTTCGAAATGGCAACCTTTGGTGGTACAGAGAAATATTTATGACATATCGCCAGATACACAACAAAATAAGAAAAAGCCACTCTGAGAAAGATCTAAAGTTCCTTCTTCAGGGGAAATTGATGATCAAGAAGATATAATTGCAGACAGGATTTTCCAACGAAGGGTGGGATGGTACGAACGGTGTATTTAATACATGCAGCTAAGTATGTATGGATGCCCTTTGTAAACGCAAGTCAACAACGTCGATCACTGACATTCTGACTACATTTACAATTGAGCTATAAGAAATACTACAGAAATATAACCCTTGAGCAAATTACACACACCTCCGCGTCTTGCGACTTTGAAATATCTACAAGAGTTTTTGCCGCAGGATGGACGACATCTAAGAGACTTATAATTGTAGCACCGTCATTGGAAATCGTGGCTTTCCCTACACAGAGATCAAGAAGAAAATACAGTAAGATGAAGTACTACTATCTCTTCAGAAGTGTACATGCTCTGAACGACGGGAGTGTACTGTACCGTACTGTAGACCTACCTTGACTATTTACAATTAGTTTATCCATTCCTCTTGGCCCTAAAGTTGTCCGAACTGCATCAGCAATAAACTGACAAGCGTTTATATTGCTGATGAGTTGAGGAACACCCTGCGAGGCGTCTGTTCCCTCCTTGAGCAAAATTATACCCGGTTGCTGTCAAAATAATACATGTCAAACATGTGAGCGGATTAGTTTTGATTCAGTGCTGCGCATCTAAATAAAATGTTTGTGAAGTGAAAGTTGCGTCTTTTTCCTTCTCGTATCATAAATGTAATCCTTATACTTGGCTTAACTATTCAAGATGGAAAAAGATGTTAATGTGTATCTCACCATCATGTTTCTTGTCAGGCGATGGCTCCAAAACAGCTGCGCAGATAATTCTTTTTGTTTCAGATTCAGCGCATAATGAATCAAGAAACCCGCTGATCGCACGGCTCGTTTGCTAAAAATTCCTACTTCTTATACAAACGATGTCTTGTTCATTTGATCAGCCGCAGGCAATATTGCGTGAGTGAAAACAGACGTGGCGCTTCCTCAGTTCGCCGGTGTTTTGATTGTTGATAAGCATTTCATTTACAAGCAAATTATGTTCGCAATCAGTTCTTGCTTGGAGTCATGAAGGAGCCCAGGTGTGTTTATTCACCTAGCTTCGTAAATAATTCTTGTTATTGCGGCAATCGTTTTGTAATATCCCCGATTAGGACAGAAATACAGAATGGTCGGCCGGTAAGTTTATTTTTTTGTACCTTTAGATACAATATTTTGAGCTTATTACAGAGTATTATTGATAACAATATTCATGTAAGGGAAGTTCGGTAGTGCGATTCAGCCATGTTTGAGGTTAGAGAGGATGTGGCTTCCTCTATCGATAATTTTATATCCTTTCTGGCGTGAATTCTGTTTGTATGATTAAGAAAAAAAAATTCTATACGTCCATGTGCTTGTAGCGTGCATTCGGTATATATATTGAGGTAGCTTTTATACTGCCACTCCTGATCACTCAAACTTTTTTGATCACAAAAATCACGAAATTCCAATTCGATGGATTTCGTGTTTTCTTTGAAGACCTCTAATCAAGTGTCAAAATGCAAAACAGAAAGGAAAGAAATATTACCTAGAGAAATCTCATTTTGGGTTATTGTATGAATTAAATGTCGAGGTGGATGAGATCATTGTGAAGATAAATTGATTTTAAAGTGGAGAGAAAATTAACTAAGTACATTTTTCCTTTCTTTGGGCATTTGACACGCATTTGAAAAATCACAAAGGTCCCCTCTCAAACTGAAATATTCTAGAATATTTTTGGAGCTTTAAGTTGATAGGTACTTAATGTTTGAGGTGCTTTTGTGTTGGAAGGGGGAAGAAGAATTACAAGATAATTTGGTTTTATCAACATGATGTAAATTGGCCTCCATTAGGAGTTTCTAAAGCCAATGTTTCAAAACCCAGCTTTTTGTCAGGGCATAACACAAAGGGTTAGAGCCCAAAAACCATTATTAGCTTAAGAAACTCTTTACAGTGGCCTATTAACATTATCAACTCAATTGAGAACACCAAATTATCTTGTAATTACAGAATCATTTCCCTTGTCACAATAACTTTTTATTCATCTGATAAGATACAGTATAAACAATTTTGTTCTTTTTTGTTCATTAGGATCTCAATACGATGGACCAGTCTTCCTTCTTTTCTTAGACCAGGAATAATATCATCCTCCTCAGACAGTACATGTTCTTGTACAAGAAGACTATTCTCTCACATGTGTGGACTACAAAAAGACTCGCTGCGAACTTTTATTTTTCTAGCTGTTATTTTTATCATTGTTTTACTAGGAACTCTTTTTCTTGTTGGTAATGTGAATTGGTATGGTAACAGAACTAGACGCTTTGCGTCAACAGATTTTTATGAACATGGAGCTGATTCTCACCATCATTATGGCATTGTCATTGACTGCGGAAGTAGTGGATCTCGTGTGTTTATTTATTACTGGCCACCTCACAATGGCAATCCAGATGAGTTGCTACAAATTAAACAAATGAAAGATACCAGGGGAAATCCAGTCAGAATGAAAATCAAACCAGGTATAATCTTCAGGACTGATCCTATGAATTACATCTGCAGTATTAGTTCTCCATGCCTGCTGGTATTTAGATGCACCCTTCCCTAGGCCCAGTAAAAAGAAATGGTATTAGGACCAAGTGGAGAGAAATTGAGGTTGTAATTGGGTAAATTATTTCATATTGGCTGAGCAAGTAACGCAAGGCTGGTTTGAAATTATGAGCAAATCACCCCTGAATTATGTGACACAAAGTCTGTTTACCAATTCATTGTGTCAATAAAAGATGTAAATAACTCAGTGGAGAAAAATGTAATGCAAAAGCACCTACCCTCTTATTGATACCCAATAATGGTCATTGGACCAATTAGTTTTTCCTTTTTATTCTCATCACTTGTCTGTTTGACATTGTATTGATATTGTAAGGAGAAATTCTATCTTGGTTACTCATGGGAGTTTAAGGTTCGATTTATGTGACTGTTACTTATGGACTCTTTAAAACTTTGATTTCAGGGATCTCTAGTCAAGTTCATCGGCCGTCAGATGCATCATCCTACATTGATCCTCTTCTATCCTTTGCTGCACAACAAATTCCTGAACACAAGCACAAAGAAACACCTCTTTATATCCTGGCTACAGCTGGCATGCGAATGCTTTCTGTTGCTGATCAAGAAGCTATTTTAGATGACTTAAGAGTGGATGTTCCTTTGAAATACAATTTCCATTTCACATCATCTCATGTTGAGGTCATCACAGGAAAGCAAGAAGGTACATGAGGATGTATATTTGGTCAAATAACACTGTACTTAAAGAATTTTTTAATTGTTTTGTTGTCAGTAATGTACAAAGTTCATCTTGCATGCCATTGCACACTGAATTACTGGTCTAGTGTAAACATAATCTGCCAAAATGGTTTTCCAAACCTATCTAGAACAAAGCAATTACAAAATTATAACCCATTATTATAGTATCTTTAAAAAATTATTGGGGGGAATGGTAACCAAGTTACAAGCTTAGTCCTCTGGAGGGTCTTGACAATCTGCTCTAGCGAGATCAAACCCCAACAGTAATTGATAGCTTCCCAATGTATGAAATGAGTTGGTCTTTTGCTGTGTAGTCTTTTGTAGTGGATCTAGTGCATTAAGCTACATTAGTGTTGCACAAGATCATTCTCTGAACAACATTTTCCACACCAGTTTAGGTTTAACATGACTAGTCTTTTCTTCGGTCACCTTGATAAAAAACGACCTTTTCATGGCAAAACTTGATGAAATTTTCTAGTGTGGACAACTTGAAAAGCAAATTTTGATTTTGAATTGGAAGACTTTAGTTACTTTCAACTCTTCTCTAAACCACAGTGTAAAAAATCATGCTTATGTGTGAAAGATGAGCAAGTCATCAGTTTTTGGTTATTGAATAATGCTTTGAGTTGCTGCATATCTTATTTCACAGGAATTTATTCATGGATTGGAGTCAACTTTGAGTTGGGAAGATTTGATCATTCACATGACAGTCAAGGTATGTTACTTACCAGTACTGTAGATGGCATAATTTTTCAGGTTTTTATTCCAACAAATTAAATCTATGGCTAGATGAATGAGTAATGACCTCATGAGAAATTTCAATAACTCTTTATATCCCAGTATCAGTGTTTATTTTCTCCTTACTCCTCTCTGTACATTTCCTTGTGTACTGATAGGAGTAATTCATTTAACAATCAATGCTTCTTAGGTAATGGTAATCATTTTCTTTATTCTCTTGATCTCAATGCATGATTCAGCAGTGTTACTATGAAAAGAAATAAGATTTTGGTCACTCTTAGGGTTTTTAAGGGATAATGATACACTGTAATGTGAAACAAAGGGATCAAATTAGCCTTGGTAATTGAAGTTTCTATGATAGAGGTCTAGTGCTTAAGAACAGAGGTGTTTTCATTGAATTATATAACCATGGTTAGTGGTGGTGTCAGGACACTCAAAGAAAAGCTGGAAGAAATTGAAGATGATAACAACCATGTCTCAGTAAATAGGTTGGGGGTTTCTGACTGTGCACAATATTTTGTTCTCATGTTTACACATCATGTTTGAATAAATTTGAGGTATTTCTCCACCTGTCTGTTTGTAGTGATCAATTGTGCGTAGTTAGGTCCAAAAATGGACTGAAAATTTGTAAGAAATCTGTAGAGTTTTCTAACCAGGAAACAAACTTGCTACTAACTATGATTTAAGTAGCAGAAATTAATTGTTAAAGTGAGCATATTTTGTAAACTTTGTAATTTTATATTATGATTTTAATTTTAACAGAGTCACCACTGAACAACAGTGTATCAGAAGTTAGCCGTAAAAGTACAGTGGGGTCTCTTGACATGGGTGGAGGCTCTGCACAAATTGCATTTGAAGTTGGGAAGTCTGTAAGTACCCAGAGGATAACAACATGACAATAATGATATTAGTGATAGTTTAGTTAGTTATCTCAGTCTTAATTAACCTTTTAACTCCCATAAGTGACCAAGACAGAATTTCTCCAAACAATATGAATACAATAACATCCAGATAAGTGATGAGAATAAAGAAAAATATCAATTTGGGGATAGTTAGTTTATCCAATACTAAATTCCTTGAACTGATGTTGTAAGAATTGTATGGTTGACAGTATGGAGAATTACAAATTTGATCTGAGAGTTAAAGGTTTGAGTGACTGACCTGCCTCACACTAGCTATGGCTGTTTGCAAGTCAGTCAATATGATATTGATAATCTGAAAATGGAATTTAAAAAGTGTGAAAGAAGTGAAAAATGAAAGATTTGATGAAGATAATGGAAGAGGTGACTAAATTCACTTCTAAGAAAATTTTCATGATTCACGCACAAACTCACTAAAATGACTTAAGATATGCTTTGTAAATAATTGTGGACTATGAAGTTGATTCGATTGAAGAGGTAAGATAAGGAAACTAGCGTATAACATTCCTCTGTGTTTTAGGTATGGGTTCCATCAGAGTTAAGTGCACAAGTCAACCTGGGTTGTGACTCCCACAAAACTACACACAATTACCATCTCTATGTTGCTACGTTCCTTGGGTTTGGAGGCAATGCTGCTAGAGACAGATTCACAAAGCTTGTCATCACCAAGAATAGAACATTGAGCATTGATGAGTAAGTAATTATTCCAAGAGACAAAGTAAACGGGGAAAGTAATCGTTAAGTAGCATCTTAAAATGGTACAATGGTTTCTTACCGAAGTATTTAGCTACTCTGAAAATTAATAAGCGAATTGAAAACAAGTTTGCAAGCTTTCACCTACTCAGATCCCTGATGACATCGTGGATCAGTGAAAGCTCCAAGACTTGTATAAGTCATTTTTGCTTTTTACAGTGGTTTAAATTCTTACTAGAAACTACTGTGCCATCCAAGTGCTGTTAGAAACAATGAGCAGTATTGCCATAATTCCTTTTGACTGAAACACGAGTCCATTCCAGGTCCTTAACTTCCCTCAAAGGTTTGCTTCTTGGTAGGGCGCGGCATTTGGTGAATAAAAATTTCTTCAAAGGAGAAAAAAAATAATGAAGTAGCGGTTACGGCTGGAACTATGAAGGCTCGAACCCAGACTTCTCGATCTGCAATGCAGTGCGTAAAGGTCTTTGCGACTTTGAAGTATTAGCTTGTTTATGTCTGATCTTTCTATGAGAGTCTCAATGGGTTGATGGGTTGTACGGCTAACGTTCAACAATAAAAATTAAACGATTAATTTTTTTACGACAAACGGTTAAATTTTGTCAATTTTTACGCCTAACGACTAAATGTTTGGCCGTTTTACGGCTAACAGTTAACCCCAACTTCTACATTTCAACATTCAACGAGCTATATCTCTAAACTTGTCAAACACACCTTGCCTATCTTTATTCAGCGTTTTGTTCTTTTTCCAACCTGATGCAAAACGTTTTCCAAACCCCCACTTCACAGAGGCTTTTTCTCAAGTGACGCGCCAAAAAAAGTTTTGATTTAATGCGTCTCTCTTGCATTTCATGTATCACATGTACCACATCATTATTCTCTTTGCATACACAGCACATCTGGTGCGTATCTCGATCCATGTTTACCCGCTGAATGCACAGAGCAAGGAACTTACAAGGGAAAGAAATACAACTTCCTTGGAACAGGAGAATATATCAAATGTAAAGAACTGATTCTTCCACTACTGAACCGTACCAGACCCTGCCCAAAAAAGCCCTGTTCGTTTAACGCTGTCTATCAGCCTCGTATTGATTACGAGACCGTAGAATTTTACGGATTCTCCGAGTATTGGTATTCAATGCATGATGTCTTGAGAATCGGGGGACAGTACAGTGCGAGTAGCATGAGGCAAGCTGTAGAGGTGAGATTTTCGATTCTTAGCAAATCCTTAACGTCTACCGACACAACACAGCGGTCATACGTTGGGCATGCGCAAGGTGATCAATTTTAGCCGGCCGCGCGCCAATTTCCCGCGCAAAATTTCAAAGCTTAAAATGAGAAACAACCGCTGTCTCGCAAAATAAATGGAAGAAGATTGATACGTTCTTAGAAATTTGTAAAAGGAAAACTCAAGACTTTTCGAAGATAAAGTTCATTCAAGTACGAGTAACCTGTTAATTTACCATTCTGTTTGGAGCCTTACAAAAACCTTTTTGCGCTTCTAAAACACGGTGACTTACTGGCTTGTGCGGTTGTTTTTATCTCGTGTGAGACAATTCGGTTCTGACACCGTGAAGCACGTTACCGACATTACCTCAGTAGTCCGTACAACCGCTGTGTTTCGTTTACCGTACCAATTTCTGAGAGCTTTTATACTCAGCTGTAAAATAGGGCACAGTATGTAAGTGTCTTCTTACGACAAAGCTTGTCGACCATTAAACTGACCTTTTTCGATATCATTTCAGGAATTCTGCAGTACACGTTGGTCTACTCTCGTGTCACGCCATTCTAAAGGCCTCTACCCCTTCGCAGATGATCACAGGCTCAAGTAAGACAGTTTATTTGCAACGTTCGGGATTCAACTTGCCGTAATTCGTAAAAAAAAACCCAAGTAATCGCAAGGGTCAATCAGAACAACAGAAAATAAAACATGAAGCCAATGAAAACTCAAGGCTTAGACCTGCGCCGTAAGCGCGGAAAACGAAAGCGACTAAGGCGCCATCGGTTTTGCATTTGATTGGTTTATATAGTGATGTGATTTTTCTGGACCAATCACGAAGAGACTCGAAGAAAAATCCCGGATTAATTACAAACCAACTGCACGCCTCTAGGCGCCCGATATCATACACCTCTTAATCAGCTACCATAGTTTCAGTAGCCTCAATTTACTTGAAGCTGTGCGGAATTAAGTCGAATATTTTTATAGACTGATTATTATATAAATGAGCGTTACTTTCTTTGAACAGTTAATTTGATGATGATGAACTGTTTTTTGTTAAGGTTTCAGTGTTTCAAAGCAGCTTGGATGACCACAGTTCTTCACGAAGGCTTTAAGTTTCCTCAAAACTACAGCAATTTACGTTCTGCCTTCTACATTCGCGGTAAAGAGGTGCAATGGACACTCGGTGCTATACTTTATCGGACAAGATTTCTCCCTCTAAGGTAAGGCAACAAAGTTCCGCTCAGTTTGAAAGTTTGTTAGTTTTTAGCCATTCGGTAATGTCGCTCATGATCTGTTGACTAAACGAACGGCTGATAAATAATCAATAAATCAGAGAATAGAGTTCTAACTTTATTTTGCAGTATTTTGTAGCTACGTTCATGACTGGAACGCTTTTCCGCAAGTTGTCTTCAAATTACAACCAAAGTAATTTCAGTGGCCAATAGATGAATATTCGAAGTGACTAACGACTCGCTACAAGCGAGGGAAAACGCGTGCTACCAAGTTGCAGTTGATTGGTTTATCATTTGATTGGTTAGAATGTGGCGCGAGCTTCTTGACCAATCACAGATCGAAGTAGAGCGAAACGATTTCAATCTCAAATTGCTTCCAACACTCCTTTGGAAATTGCTTTCGTCCACAGTGGTTTCATTATAACACCGTTTTGTTTTAAATTTACAGGGAAGTCCAGTTACACTCGCAGTACAAGAGCTCTTACCACGCTTTCTGGAGTTACGCCAGTGACCTTCAATTCCGCATAATTCTCCTCGTGTGTAGCATCACAGTCTTAGCCGCCATATTGCTCTACTGCCGGCGTCTACGGCGCATGAGCAAGAATTCTAGTATCTGGCATTTCGATTCATCGCCTGTGCTTTACAAAGTCGATGTGATACCCAGTATTGAGAAGATTCCAATGATATGACATAACGTGGACTGGTATAGAAGGCCATACTAACATATAGAAATTATGAAAATGTAGATCATTGTACAAAGGAATTACAAAGAGTTATTAAACCTGAAGAAAGAAAACGCTGAAAAAAGACGATAAAATTCTTCCATTATTTTCGTTTCAACTTGTCTCTTTAAATAAAATGATATATTAGCACAGGGTTTCTCCCAATTATAATGATTTGATTTTAGGAGAGAAAAGTTATTATGGCCAAACACCTCCCCCCTTCTTCCCTTCCCCCCCTCCCTCCGTCTCTTCACCAATCCCGACAGTGCCTATCATAGGCTAAGCTTCCTCTCTTACCGGCTCAGTCATATGCGAACGGTCCTACCCCCCTTCCCACAGAAAGGTTTTCCTCTATACTGAAGTATATTCGTGCAGAATATGAGGAAGCGAACCTCAGAGCTCTGATGCTCTACCATTGAGCCACAGGGACTACGGTGAGAGGGGCCCATTACGAAGTTCAGATAAGAAGTAGTTCTTGATTATCAAAAAAATTCTCCCTGTCAGAACTGTGAAAAATGTAATCGAAACAGTATGGAGAATATGCCCACTAATTTTAGGGTGCGAATGATCCGTCCTGAGACGAAGATCATGAGAAAAATCGAAATCGGAGCCCATTTCTCTATCACTACCGGCCTTGAACATTGGTTCAGGTCGAAAGACTTCTGAAATGAGTGGCGTTATCGGCTTTTTTCAAAACGGTTCCTTTTCACCCCACATTTAATGTGGCTCCTGAATTGAACGATATATTTACCATCATGAGAGCTTGAATCTTTTCAATAACGTGGTTGCTGTGGCGAATTTGTTAGTTGTAATTTATAAGTTCTTCCACATGTCAAGCAAAGAAATCAGTGTTTAATACGGTTTAACTGAGAGACATAATTGAGCGAGCACACTTGATGAAAATAATAAAGAAAATTAGAGATTGAATAAATTATTTATCTTCCCTCCGGCACAGAGATATCGTTACTAAAAATATGCTCAGGAATCATTAGCGTGAGGTCATTCGAAAGCAGCGCGCAAAAAGAGGCATCAGTGCGTTTGTCCCATACTATCGTCGTCATTTATCGATGCATGATTTAATTTCGAAATTGTACTAAATTCGTTTTGAAAAAATATTGTCAGTTAAATGTCATTCAGAAATGGACAACGTCTCTCTATGAGATTAAAGACTTCCTTGTGGAATAAGTTCTTGACAAATTATCATTAACATAAGTTGTTTAGTCTTCCGTGTCTTGACCTTTTCTCGTTTGGCTGAGGCGTAAACAAATAATTTTGTATTTAAAACATTATCTTTTAAATCTGTTCAGGCATTCAATGAATAAAGAAAAGGAAGTAAAATGTTCCGATTACTTTTTGCATTAATTTGCGTTTTCATCTTGGGTTTTCATGCAACCTCACAAAGCAAATCAAGCAAACAGGTAAATATACTTATATTGAGTTATGATCAAAACTTGGGGTGACGTCTCGTACTTTTGTGAACGACTAAAATTCTTATAATTTCAATACTTATGGCTAGATTTAAGATTTCGCGGACCTTTACTTATTCATCTAAATACAGTAAAGGTTTCTGTGGAAGGGAAAGAAAACCAAAAAGTAAACTGAAAAACCAAATAATCTAGCTAAGCGGTAGGTTTTGCTGTTTTTTCTCGTTCATGTCAACAATAAACAAACATTTTGCATTCAAAGTGTTCATTTCATTTCGTTTTATTTAGTAATAACGACACATTTCTGAGAAGAAGAAGCAACTAAACATGTTCCGCTTACTTTTTGCGTTTATTTTCGTTTTTGCCGTGAATTATAGTACAACTGCCCTGGCCAAGTCGGTAAGTTTGCCTCTGTTTTTGTTAATCGATATCACGGAAGCACATTCCGTTTCATAGATTGAGAGAATTTTCCAAGCCGACACTGTTTCGTTTGATTCACGTCGACGACTAGCAGTTCTAGATCGATAGGGAAATCGTGAATTCAGAAGTTGATCGATATGATTTTTAGTTTCGTTTTTGCCGTGAATCGTAGTGCAACTGCCCTGGCCAAGTCGGTAAGTTTGCCTCTGTTTTTGTTATTCGATATCACGAAAGCACATTCCGTTTCGTAGATTGAGAGAATTTTCCAAGCCGACACTGTTTCGTTTGATTCATGTCGACGACTAGCAGTTCTAGATCGGCATGGAAATCGTAAATTTCAGAAGTTGATCGATGTGATTTTTTTTTTTTCAGGATTCTGCGAACGGAACCCAACAAAACAAGTGTGGAGAGACGGATCCAAAGAAATGTCGCTACTGTCGCGACGGTATGGTCGAAAGCGATTGAAAGTTTTTCACGAATCAATTTTTTTCTGGCGTTTTACACATTTTATACGCTGATATGACGTTTAAATGTTGGCGAAATATTTTTTCCTTCATCTTCAGGATAGAGACGGTTGGGATGGTCAAAATGATGCAAGATAATTTATCAGTTTATCACTCACGATTCCGACATATTTTAAAGACATAAATCTTTCAATTGTACAATACTCCAATATGTTTCGTGGTGCTTAGGTAGTTATTCAAAGGCAACAAAAACAATTATCAATTTCCACGGACTCAGTCCTTGTCCAAGAAATATTTTATCGAAGACTAAGGACTCGCAAAAAAAATATTTTTTCCTCTTTCTTTATTGAGGTATCCAAGGTCCGCAAGGCGTTCAGGGCATTCAAGGTCCACCAGGCGTCCAGGGCATTCAAGGTCCACCAGGCGTCCGAGGCAAAGATGGTTGCAACGGTCGAGACGGAAGAAACGGAGCCAAGGTTGGTGAAATATTTCGTTTTCTGGGTCCAGAAAAAGTGACAAAAATAGAGGAAAGAATGACTTAAGTTAAACCGCGTCGTTAGAATTGTAAAGCAAGGCCTGTCCCATTCAATGATACTCATCTCATCTGAGCTTACTGTTATTGCATACGTCAAAAATAAGTTCCATTGCTGATAAATCATTCAGGTTGAACTTACGATGCACAACTTCATCACATAATGAGATGAACATTTGGAATTTCTATTTTGTCAGGGTCAAAAAGGCGAACCCGGTCCGGCAGGTAAATCACCTCAAGGTGCAATCAAGTTTGGTGACACCGCTGCAAAATGTGCTCTACAAAGTGCAGGTACTGTTCGTTACAATGCTTCCCAAAATGCTTTACAACTCTGCGATGGAAGCAATTGGTTGCCATTGGTGACTGGAGGAAAAGGGCACGTGTCTAGCAGACCTGGCCGTCATTGTTTGGATATCCTAGAATCAGGTAAAATTATAATTCCTGGAAGTTTCGAAGCTGATTGACCTTTAAAAGACATTAGGAGACGATTTCAAACCATCTTCATGGTCTGTTTAAGGTGGCAGTCGTGGTAGCGGACTTTACTGGATCGATCCAAACGGAGGTTCGACGGATGACTCGTTCCAGGCTTATTGCGACATGGAGACTGAGAGCGGAGGTTGGACACTAGTTGCAACAAAGGTGTCCCCAAGCTTCCGCTTTATCAAAACAGTATTTTCAGCATCAGCAGCAAAAACCACAGACGCAGATGCAGCGAGTCACATTCATCCTGACATGGGGGACTGGGAAGAGGTCATGTTCCGGTTCAGTGACGTCAGTACCATCCGGGTTATTTACAACAGGAAGGCGGGCGCTCCAAATAAGGACAAAACAGACTTTGACAAGTTCTTAATGGGGACAACTTACAATACGAACAAGAACATCCACGGGTTTTACAAGTACAGCCCGGCAGATCACAATAAGAGGAATCCCTCTTCTGGTTTTGCCACAATATCCAAGCTGTACTACGATTTAAGTGGCGGAATATCTGAATCTCATGCCGGCTCAGACAAGTGGATTGACATGTGGCAAAATGCCGAAAGCTCAAACAACTACGTCACTTCCGACGACAGCCGCGCGCGTGGTACCAAGTGTATCGCGGGCTACTGTTATCTGAACAAACCAATCTGGGTAATGGTGCGATAGGAACAAACTGTAGTTGAAAAAAAAGAAAAGGTGCTGTTAAGTTTCTTTAAGGTGTAGGGATTTAAGAAAAAATGCTGTTTTGCGAAAGCTAACCAAACTGTGTTGTCTTATTAATAAGAGCTAATCAGAAGACTTGATACTAATGTCGATCATTATAAAGGATTACCATAATCTCGGTGTGACTGCTTCAAATAAATATTTTTAAAGATACAGATGTACGGGTTGTCTTTTTAATTGCGTTCTCTATTAGCTTATATCTTCTGTCTCTCGTAAAGTGCCTTCTGATTTTAACATTCTCGGTATCTTTAACCCTCTTGATAAGTTGTGGAAATGCACAGCACTTCGATAACCTCAATTTTATGTTGTGTCTTGTTTGTAATTGAGCGAAAATACTTATTCGTTATACTTCTGTTTCTGTTTTGTTCCACCTTTTTCCCGACCGAGTGATATCGCGTCATGAAACTTAGATAAGCCAGTTGCTAAGTTTTAGTCTTTAACGTTTATTCATTCAAAGTCTGAAAACTGCCAAAGATATTTTATTGGCAACTCATTCATTGTATGACATGGTTGGCATGAGGGACAATTCCCTAAAACTCTGATTGGTGCAGGAATACAGCAGTGCTGTGATCTGATTGGTGCGAGAGACACACTCTAAAGAACAATCTGATTGGTGCGAGAGACATACTTTAATAAGCAATCTGATTCGCGCGAGCAATATACCACTCTGTGGGAAAAAAATCTCAAAGAAGAAGGCAGCTACGAAGAAATCTCTGAATCTAGTTGATCATATAAATGCAACCCAAACCAATTAAAGGCCAAAAGCGAGGGAAGAGAAGATCTGGGTTGAGTTAACAAAATGGCGGCTGAGCCGATGAATAATTGAAACCGACTTCAAGTAAATCTCTAAAGCTAAATAATACTGCTGCGAGGAGAATCTCTAAAGAGCAGTGATAGAAGAAAAATGACACTTTTCAGCGGGAATTATGTTCACGTGTCAAGTCACAGCAATGTTAATGTTCCACGATAAACCGAGATCTAAGGCCCCCATCCTCGAATTAAAAAAGATGAGCCAATTATAAGAGTTCAAGAACGAAAGGCACCAGTACGCAGCCATTTAAAAGTGTTGCGAGGCGTTTCTATGTTACTGCCCTAAGAGCCCTTGTGCGCAACGGTGACTCGTCAATTCTAGAGATACTGATGCCGGCAAATCGATTCTAAATGAACTAGCGTGACCTGTACGTCACGCTATCCTTATCAAAAACTGTCGTATAGCACAAATCATTGTATTCCTTCAGTGACACCAGGGGCATGAGCTCTACATACATTTATACAAACAATAATGTACATCGTGATTTTTTGTGGAAATATACTGACAAAACCAAATTGGCTTTGAGAGATATCGCCGATAAAATGCGCCATTCAAAAGAAAAGGTTTGGTGTATGACAAGCGAAAAAGCAGACCTCTAAACAAACAAAACATGATCATAACAAATTGTCTAAGCCGCTCTTATGCCTTTTTTTCACGTTCTAATGAAATGCAAATATTCAACTAACTTTGCATTAAAATGCTCACGTCTTGAAACTCTGTTTTTATTCCAAAGAAACTTTCAGGAAAAGAAGAGGAAGTGAAGATGTTTCGATTATTTCTTGCCCTAAGCTTCGTTTTTATCCTGGGTACCTTTGCAGTCTCAAAGAACCAATCGGTAAATGGGAATTTTTTGTCAGTGAATGCGAAGGCATATCGTCCTTTGTGGATGAATACATGTTCTTAAATATTCATGCTGAACCCGGCAAGTTTATTGCTTAAAATCGTGCGCTACACAGTTTAGAGTCGTACCACTATCTCCCTTTTTTTAGGGTTCGAAGAATGGAACACAGCAAGTTCAGTGTGGAAAGTCTGTTTTGAAGGACAGTTGTTCCTGCCGCGACGGTATAAACGTATCACAACTTGCTGAGTTTGATATTGTGCCCAAGTGGAATTTGCTATTTCTTGTTATTTCATATTTTTCTTTTACATTAACGATCTTTTTTCACCCTTGTTTTTTTCAGGTAGAGACGGCAGAGATGGCCAAAACGGTATGGAATAACCGAGAAAAATGTTGGATAGTTAAGTCGCACTTTAAAGTTTTTTTTGTAATAAACACTGAATCACTTAAACAGCCATAATTGGGTGAGAGCGTTCTACCAGCAATGCATAGTCAAGACTGAGAGTGCGCTTGTCAACGGCTAGATATCTCCAAAAGGATAGTTGGAATGCTAAAATGTTTCTCGAAAATATCTTATGCTTCATGAAAGTTACTCATAACAAATATTGTCTTGTCTTTGATCGAAGGAAAAGTAGGCCGCGATGGACGCGACGGGAAAATGGGAGCAAAGGTTGGTGTAAAGATATGACCAAAGAAATTAATGACAAAAACCACAACCCAAAACGAAAAAAAGAGAAAAAAAAGATGAAGAGAATGTTCTATCAAATCACAAACCGCTTTCAAACTAAAGGAATATTGTTTACAGAATTCCGAATTCGAGTTGAATCATATGTATATTTTGGGCAAATTTACCGATGAGCTTAATTTTATTTGTAGAGACTGAAACAGACTCCTCACGAGTTACATAGACGTTATTTGAGCTAAGAAGTGAAGTAACAAGACTGCTGAGTATTATAAATATATATCCTTAAAATTTTGACGATCCTCTCTCCTCGTGTTGAATGATTTTCTACAGATCAAAAGCGACAGTAAGAAAAGTGTCTAAACTTCAATTTTCTTAAAGCGTCACCTAGTACATGTATAGCATTTTAAATATACCTTTTTTTTACAATATATTTTGGGGTGAAAAAGGCCAACAAGGTCTCTGTAAAGAAAGTGTAGGAAAAATGCTGTCAAGTTGCGTGACTCACTTGATTTTTGACTCCAAAGCTAACAATTTTTTTGTATCATTGATTAGTAATTACCGTCTCAGTCGCAAGTTTTAACGAAAACTTTCCTCTTCTCAGGGAAATAAAGGAGAACGAGGACCGAAGGGAAACGACGGAATGAACGGCTTAAAGGTTGGTGTTTAAATTTCTTACAAACTTAACTTCAAAACCACAAAAGGGCAAAATAATAAAACTCATTCGTAGAAGCAACAAGAAGTATGATTGTGATGTAATATTTCTTGTTCAATACTTAGGGAATCAAAGGGGAGCAGGGCTTTCATGGGAAAGATGGAATAAATGGAACAAAGGACAGTCGATGATTTTTCCTAAGAAACCTTAGTACGAGTTCTCTCTCTTTTTTTTTTTTTAATAACACTCAAAGTTAACTTATCTGCCAAACGACAAAAAAGTGTAAAAAAAAATTGAGAAAGAAGGAAAAAAGCAGTTCCTTAGTTGGAGGAACTCATTAGGCGTTCCACCGAAAAAAACCAACTGAAAAATGGCAAAAGAAAAAAACAGTGCTCTGGTTAAAGGTTTAGCTATAAGGTTTGGTAAACCGTGGCCATTTAAAAGCATTGTCATTACTTAGTTGCGAGTAAAATTCTGTACCCACTGTCGCACCACTACCAAAGAGTTCTGTGGCCATCGCTCAAATATCTGCTAAATCGATTTCTACAGTGTAGCAATTTTTTTTTTTTATTCATGAATTGAACACTTTGAGTTTCTATTTTTTCAGGGTCAAAAAGGTGAAACCGGTCCGGCTGGTAAATCACCACAAGGTGCCATCAAGTTTGGTGACACCGCTGAGAAATGTACTCTGCGAACTGCTGGCACCGTTCGTTACAATGCTTCCCAAAATGCTTTGCAGCTCTGCGATGGAAGCGCTTGGTTGCCACTTGTGACTGGAAAGAAAGGTCACGTGGCTAGCAGACCTGGCCGTCACTGTATGGATATCCTAAAAACAGGTTAAATTATAATTCTTTGAGGTTTCGAAGCTCATTGAGCTTTGAAAGATATTAGGAGACCATCTCAAATAATATTAATGGTCTTTTTTTCAGGTAGCAGTGATGGTAGCGGACTTTACTGGATCGATCCAAACGGAGGTTCGTCAAGTGACTCGTTCCAGGCTTTTTGCGACATGGAGACTGATAGTGGAGGTTGGACACTAGTTGCCACGAAGATGTCCCCAAGCTTCCTCTTCATCACAACAGCATTCTCAGCGTCAGCGGCAAAAACCACAGACGCAGATGCAGCGAGTCACATTCACCCTGACATGGGAGACTGGGAAGAGGTCTTGTTCCGGTTTCATGACTTCAATACTATCCGAGTAATTTATAACAGGAAGGCAGGCGCTCCAAATAAGGACAAAACAGACTTCGACAAGTTCCTGATGGGGACGACTACCGCGATAAATAAGAACATCTACGGGTTTTACAAGTACAGCCCGACAGATCACAATAAGAGAAATCCCTCTTCTGGTTTTGCCACAATTTCCCAGCTGGTCATCTATTCAAAATACGGAATATCTGAAACTCACCCTGGCTCAGACAAGTGGATTGACATGTGGGATAGAGCTGACAGCTCAAACAACTACGTCACTTCCGACGACAGCCGCGCGCGTGGTACCAAGTGTATCGCGGGCTACTGTTATCTGAACAAACCAATCTGGGTAATGGTGCGATAGGAACAAACTGTAGTTGAAAACAAAAGAAAGGCGCTGTTAAGTTTCTGTAAGGTGTAGGGATTTAAAAAAAACTATGTAAAGACAGTCAAGCTTTGCTGTAGTTGTACCAAGTGTTATGAAACGGTATTGGATATTGTAAGCTTGGTGATTGGATAAGAAGAATAAATACTGTTGAAACATTTCCTTGATTTTAACAAAGATCAACTTCAGTCCATTTTTATTCATATTCGCTTTTTTTCGATTATGTGCATTTCAATATGGGATTTTTTGCCTTTAACTGTTATCGGTTGATAACGCGTTTACAAAATATCATGTCTCTAGTAGTCTTACGGAAACTGAGTCCAGGAATAAAGTTTCACACTTTCCAGAAGCCGAAATAGAGAGAACGTTAATAAAATAAGAGGTTTTCTGATCAACCACTTTAAAATCATATTCGTGCCTAGAATTTATAGATAAAACACCACTTAGATGAAAGGGGTACGCATAGTATTTGATTCATCGCCCAATCAGTGTCTGACAACTTTTCGGGCAGAGGCCCATATTTGTAACGAGTTTTAAGTAGCGGTGAAAATGAATGATAGTCTACCAAATGCCTTGATTCATGCTTCACGCTAGTGGTTATTTTCTTGTATTGTAAAATTTTAAACAGAGTTTTTACTGTTTACGGTTTCCTTCCAAGATATAATTGAAATTTTGTCAAAAATTTGGTTTGTCTGAGTAAACTTCTGCTCGGAAAGATTTTTTTTCGTACATGTGGATGTAAGCAAGTACATGAAAGCACTGACATGAAAAATAATGCATTCGTATCCACGGGTCATAAGTTTTGGGTGCCCTGTGCAGAAAACCCGCTTTCCTTAACACTCATGGCACGAGGCCACGAAACGTTTGGATTGCAGAGCATAAAATGTTTTTTCTTTCAATTTTATGTATTAATGACTGATTTAGCAACTCTTCTCCTCATATATTAAACAGTTTGGTTTGCATCTTACGTGTGGATTGGAATTTAGGGTTCTTTTCATGTAACACCTTATAGTTAAATCGATCGTCAATACCATCCGGGTTATTTACAACAGGAAGGCAGGCGCTCCAAATAAGGACAAAACAGACTTCGAAAAGTTCTTAATGGGAACAACTTACAATATGATCAAGAACATCCACGGGTTTTACAAGTACTGTCTGGCAGATCAAAATAAGAGGAATCCCTCTTCTGGTTTTGCCACAATATCCAAGCTGTACAAAATGGCGGCCGCGTAGATGCATATTTGAAACCGACTTTAAGTTAATCTCTAAAGCTAAATAATACTGCTGCGAGGAGAATCTCTAAAAAAGAATTGATAGAAGATAAGTGATTTGTTTCAGCAGGAATTATGTTCACTTGCCAAGTGAGTCACAGCAATGTTGGGGTTCCACGATGAACCGTGATCTCAAGCCCCCATCCTCGAATTAGAAAAGATGAGCCAAGTTTAAGAGTTCAAGAACGAAAGGCACCAGTAGGCAGCCATTTAAAAAGGGTTGCGAGGCGTTTCTATGCTACCACTTTAAGAGCCCTTACACGCAACGACGACTCGTTAATTCTAAAAGTACAGATGCCGGCCAGGCGGTGTGCGCACTCTGATTGTGTTGCATCATGGTCGTAAAACAAAAAGCGAGTCATTTGCATCCTGTCGCGGTCGAGTGAACATCTCCGGAGAAGACTTTTGCCTCCGAATTCGACCAAATTCGTCACGCTCAACGTTTGATAAAAAACGTATAGAGTGTCAAATATGCTTAAAGAATAGGTAATACCTAGAATGAGGTTTTGAGAAACGCATCTCTAGAGTTATTTTCTGCGAGAGAGACAGTATACTTGAAAAAAAAAAAAAACAAAATCGCGCGCATACATGAAAATATTACCTTTTGTAACACAGTCTCATCCAGCTTAGCCAAACCTCAAGAACATACAGATGGGGAAATGACTCCTTAAAACTAACCCTAATTATCACATCGCAAACGAAATTCATTAAAAGATATCCTAATAACAGCTAAGCTTTCAGGTCAGAAGATTTAAAAGCGCAAGCGAATGGCAGGAGTCGCACAAGCCTATCAACACCCTTTAACGATCGACTGCCTTTTGCTTTCCGACTTACCCGGCGTGTCGCCGTGTGCATTGTAGAGTTATTCATTGGTCAAGTGCGGACTCTTTTCATTGCTCTAGTTCAACTGTCCTTCATTCAACGATCAAGATAATAACTTTACCATACAACACTCGGGATTAGTTAGTTTGCTTTTACTAGGAAAGTAGATTTACATTTCAATTGAGTATACGATAGTAACGCTGAGTAATGTAACAATAGACCTTTTCTCGGCCATAATCGGTCTCAAACACTAGCACTTAGAATGCGAGAAACACATGCACCGTTGGAGAGTGTTTGTTCAGAGCTGTCAAAGAAGGATCAAGGCGGCCATCCAAATCTTTGAAAGGCTCCAAACTACGACGTACATTAAATTTGACCTTCTCGAAAACCGGTCTCAAATTGCATACTAAAAAAGCCGTGATTGCGTTTCTCCTTGAGGACCATAGAATACGCGACAAATACGTACAAAAAATACTTTCACCCATTTAGAATAAATCAGATTATATTTGCATATGGTAAAAAGAAAAATGAACGGCCTAACTGTAACGGAATGTTCGGTCAAAATCTGCCGATTTCTGCTGCTTTCACCCCCATACTGAAAATGGAGCTACCACAATGCAACGCAATCGGAGTGCGCACACCGCCTGCGTACATGCGTGACCTGTGCGTCACGCTATCCTTGTCAAAAACTGTCGCATAGCATCAATCATTGTATTCCTTTAGTGGCACCGGAGACATAAGCTTTGTAAATATTTATACAAACAGTAATGTATATCGTGTGTTTTTGTTGGTTTTACTTCTTTTCTCATCGGAAGATATATTTCTCCGTCGTGGAAATATGCTGAACCAAATTGGCTTTGAGAGATATCGCCGGTCAAGTGCGCCATTCGAAAGCAGAGGTTTGGAGTATGAAAAGGGAAAAAGCAGACCTCTAAAACAAACAAACAAGAAACGATCATAACAAATTGTCTGAACCGCTCTCATGCCGTTTTTTCGCGTTCTGATGAGATGCAAATATTCAACTAACTTTGCATTCAAACTGCTCGTGTCTTGATTTCTGCTTTTATTCCAAAGAAACTATCAACAAAAGAAGAGGAAGCCAAGATGTTCCGATTATTTCTTGCCTTAAGCTGCATTTTTATCCTGGGTACTTTTGCAGTCTCAAAGAGCCAAACGGTAAGTGGGAATATTTTGTCAGTAAATACGAAGTCGTATCGTCTCTTTGCGGATGAATAAATGTTCTTAAATATTTATGCTGAACCCGGCAAGTTCATTTCTTAAACTCGTGCACTACACAGTTTAGAATCGTACCACGTTGATCGAGAACCTCCCTTTTTAGGGCTCGAAGAATGGACCTCAGCAAAGTCAGTGTGCAAAGTCTGTTTCGAAGGACAGTTGTTCCTGCCGCGACGGTATGAACGTATCACAATTTGTTGAGTTTTAAATTGCACCCGAATGGAATTTGCTATTTCTTGATATTTCATATTTTTATTTTACTTCAACGACCTTTTACACTTCTTTTTTCAGGTAGAGACGGCAGAGAGGGTCGAAACGGTATGGAATAGTTAAGTCGCACTTAAAAGGTTTTTTGTAATAAACACTGAATTACTTTAACAGCCATAGCTGGGTGGGAGCGTTCTGCCAGCAATTCATTGTTAAGAACAGAGTCCGCTTGTATACGACTAGATATCTCCAAAAGGATAGTTAGAATGTTAAAATGTCTCTCGAAAATATGTTATGCGTCATGAAATTCACTCATAGCAAATATTTTCTTGTCTTTGATCGAAGGAAGAGATGGCCGCGATGGACGCGACGGGAAAATGGGAACAAAGGTTGGTGTAAAGATACGAACAAAGAAATAAAGGAAAAACGCCACAACCCAAAACGGAAAAAAGGAAAGAAAGATGAAGAGAATGTTCTATCAAATCGCAAACTACTTTCAATCTAAAGGAATATTGTTTACAGAATTCTGAAGTAAAATAGACGCGTTGGAGTTGAATCATATGCATATTTTGGGAAAATTTATCATGTTGTATGATTTTCTACAGGACAGTAAGGGAAAGTGTTTAAAACTTCAAACTTTCTTAAAGCGGCACCTATTGTATGTAGGGTATTTAAGAAACACTTCTTTAAAATTTTATTTTAGGGTGAAAAAGGCGAACAAGGTCTCAGTAAAGAAAGTGGAGGAAAAAGTGTTGTCAAGGTTGGTGACTCACTTGATTTTTATCACCAAAGCTCACAATTTTTTTGTAACACTGATTAGTAATAATCATCTTTTTCTTCTTTTCAGGGAGATAAAGGAGAACGAGGACCGAAGGGAAACGACGGAATGAACGGCTTAAAGGTTGGTGTTTAAATTTCTTTCAAACTTAACTTCAAAACCACAAAAAGGACAAAATAATAAAACTCACTCGTAGAAGCAACAACCACTATGATTGTCCTCTGGTTAAAGGTTTAGCTATAAGGGTTGGTGAACCGTGGCCATTTAAAAGCATTGTCATGACTAAGCTGCAAGTAAAATTCTATGCCTACTGTCGCGCCACCACCAAAGAGTTCTGTGGCCATTGCTCAAATATCTTCGAAACCGATTTCTGTGATGTACTTCGCTTTTTTTTTCATCATAAAATGAACACTTCTAATTTCTACTTTGTCAGGGTCAAAAAGGCGAAACCGGTCTGGCTGGTAAATCACATGGTGCCATCAAGTTTGGTGACACCGCTGAGAAATGTACTCTGCGAACTGCTGGCACCGTTCGTTACAATGCTTCCCAAAATGCTTTGCAGCTCTGCGATGGAAGCGCTTGGTTGCCACTTGTGACTGGAAAGAAAGGTCATGTGGCTAGTAGACCTGGCCGTCACTGTATGGATATCCTAAAATCAGGTCAAAT